TTGAAGAATCGCAGGGAAAAAAAAAAAATCAGGTGAAAAACCTGCAAGTGCTGCTGAATCATTTTTGGAGTTAGCCTGCCAAGTTACATACTCATTAGTGCCTTCACACGGCTGTTGAAACCCTTTTCTATGAAGCTGATGCCTGCAATTCTCCCCCTCCCCTTCACCCTCTAAATGTCAATTGGTTTAAGAGTATTACTCACATTTGCATAACAGATTGAAGCTGTAAACTTATGATTTGAAAGCTAACAGATTTACAGTCAGTCTTGATTTGTCAGGTTTGTAGATTTACACTAAATTGAACTCACCTTAAATGCCATGCGAATAGTCTCTTCTGTGTTGGCTGGGTTACAAAGAATAGACAGCCCAATGACATACTCTCTGAAGTCGATGGTGCCATCTCCATTCTGTACCCAAAATACACAAGGCAGTAGTTACAGTTAATATAGCAAATCACTTTAAAAGCTGTTGTATACATCAACTATGCAACATGCACTACGACAGTTTATAACACTAGAGGTGTTCGTTCTTCCTGGAAAAAATACTAACATCTTGGTAAATATATGTAACATAAAGGCTAAAGTAGCAATATATGTATTTTCAATAGCTAGAAACTGGGTATCAATTTCTGTCTTGTAAACACCCAAACAAAAAAGATTTAAAACAACTCACAAGTTTTTCTTTAGCGTATGACCTCTGAGAAGGCTCTACCAAGAACGGGAATACACGTGTTTAAGGTAAATGTAACAGTTCATGTGGCTCTGCACTTGCTAAAGTTCAGAGCTGAATGCAATGTCCTAGAATACACAAGCCACAGTGAGGCTGTTGCCTTGAATTAATTCTTCCCAAGAACCTTCAGCAATAAAATCCACACCAGTGAAAGGACAGCCTGATGATGCAGTAAATCTGCATGGTCTCTCTTAAGCCTTTCTTTGAAGCCAAGGCATCACCCTGCACGCAGTTGTGAAGCACCTGCACTGTCCCACCTTTCAGGTCAGAAATGCAATGAATTTGTTGTAACAGCCTCTCTCATAATTCCAGTTTTGATGCCGACACACATTTCAATGTGTTAACTACAAAGCTGCATCAACAAAACACACGAAGCTTGCTTTGATGGGACTTGTGATTAATTCTGTGGAAGCTGTGTTAGATTTGCAGATAGGGAAAATTGCAGGTGCGCCTTGAAGTATCTGCTTAAGACAAGTCATGTTCCTGGAAGTTTCTTGAGGGTTTTGGGAAACATCCAGCCTGGGGAAGAAGCGGTAGGTGATGGGACACAGAGCAGTTAATGGAAGCACAGTTGAGATGACTAGTAGCTCCTAGTTTGGAACATTCACAATAAGGGCATTCATCAAAAACATTTTAAAGGCAACCAAAAGTGTAAAGCGGAGTTCCTTTTGTGGAGTAGGTGCTGTACATTTCAAGAAAAAAAGATTTTTAAAAAAGCAGACTCTCTGAGAACAGCACAAAGCATTTTCAGCCAAGAAAGAGAGGGGTGGTCTCCTGGGTAAATCTGTAGGGAACAGCCAGATCTAGATTCTATTCCTGGCCCCCTTGAGCACACCAACCCCAGCCTCGCTGGTGTGGCTGCTGCTGCTGACCAGGGGAGTACGGAGCAGCCAGGGGAGAAATGCTAGGGCTGCTCTGTAGAGGGCTCTGAAAATCTGGGGTTCTATCAAATTCTGGTTTGAGGTCTTAAGATAGTCCTTGATTAACAGATTTTGTGTAAGAATGGATTCAGTACTACATTTTCTTTATAAAGCTATTTATTTGACAGATTATAAAACAGCTAAGACAAAACATCATCTTTTGTGTAAGAATGGATTCAGTACTACATTTTCTTTATAAAGCTATTTATTTGACAGATTATAAAACTGCTAAGACAAAATTTCATCTAGCCTTTAAAACCAATTCAGGACTGTTTTGCACAGACAACTGTTAATTTCTTTATATTGTTGGTCTAACCAATCTTTTTTGAAGACATGAAACCTTTGAATATCTTGTACTTTAAAGGTCTGTAAATTTCAAGGAAGCTTTTTCGCAAAAATACCAACAGTCTTTAACTTACTTTTATGTGTGTCTAAGGGATATAACTTTTGTCAATTTTTAACAATTAGTAAAGGATAATGTTCTCTCATAAATGCTACTTTATTTACAAATCTTTTCTTTCATTGTGGTGCAGAGTTTGACTTCAAATATTTTGGCTACATCAATAATAGATCTAACTTTAAAACGTATCATTCTAAACCTAAACTCATAAAACAACTGAAGCAAGACTGTAAATAATAATTGTTCAAAGTTCCATGGAATATTATATTTGGACAGTTTTATAGACTGTATTGTTAACAAAGGATTGTTTGATCTCATTAGAATATTTTTCTAAGTTTATTTTTAAAGTTAAGAATAAGTACCACAGGAAAAGAATTGGGAAGTGAACTTTAAACAAAATAGCATTATTAAAAAACTGCTTCTGAAATCAGCTAGCACAGTTTGGCTGCACATGGAAAAATGACAAGAGCTAACAAGGGTCATATTACTTTCCTCAAAGTGCTAAAACCCAGTAATCAAAAGTGATACACAGAGCTCCAGACACCTGAGTAGGAAATAAACTTACTACACTTGCAAGATCGTGTTGTGACTCGCTGTACCAACCCCTAGGATGCTGGTTACCTTCCAAATGTGCTGGCATTTTGGTTAAGGAGAAATAACAGGGCTGTTGCCTGGAAAAAGTGATGGGAGTTAAACTGAAAATGCAGGAGAACCTCCAGTGCCCACGCAGCCCCGCTGCAGACAAGCCCTGGCAATAGGCCTCCCATGCACAGCTCGCTGCCTTTGCAGCCTGTGCACCCAGGAATATTTTAAGGAAGCAACATGTGACCTGAGCTCCAATTCTCTAAATAGCAAAGCAGAACATCAATATTTTTATATTTGTATTTGCGTTACACAAAATAACCAAAGCATAGTAACCTCAACAACCCTTGTTTTCTTTAAAGTAACCAGCTTTCTGCTACTATTTTCACTACAGCATGCTACGGTAACTAGATTTGCGTTACACAAAATAACCAAAGCATAGTAACCTCAACAACCCTTGTTTTCTTTAAAGTAACCAGCTTTCTGCTACTATTTTCACTACAGCTTGCTACGGTAACTAGGGTTTTGTTGAATTTTTTTTTTTACTATATTTAATACAGTAAATCTTATGCTTTGGCCAACAAAGTTTACATTGTTGTGAACAGTCTCATTTAGAGTTGCACAAAGAGATCAAGGCTAGATATTCAGCTTTAAGTAGTTGGCAAAGCTCTGCGCAAGACAGACGCAGGCAATAAAGTTTAAAGTACTAATGCCTCAAAACTCTTTTCTCACTATGGAAAGCACCAGGAAAAATCAAGAGAAGGGTTTTGTTGAATTTTTTTTTTTACTATAATACAGTAAATCTTATGCTTTGGGAAACAAAGTTTACATTGTTGTGAACAGTCTCATTTAGAGTTGCACAAAGAGATCAAGGCTAGATATTCAGCTTTAAGTAGTTGGCAAAGCTCTGCGCAAGACAGACGCAGGCAATAAAGTTTAAAGTACTAATGCCTCAAAACTCTTTTCTCACTATGGAAAGCACCAGGAAAAATCAAGAGAGTGTGTGTCTATTAGCTAAGTAAACCCTGGCTCACGGGGCTACCACATAGAGGCTCCTAGTGGACCACTTGGGGAGGAACTGCAGCTGCACCTCTCGTGTTCATATCCAGGCTCAATGATCTCAGAGACTATCGTAACTCCAAAATTCCTATTGCTGCACACAAGTTCTAACTAGTCAGAGAGGGAAATTCTGAAACAAACCTGGCAGGATGGGGCTCACCTAGAGATAACCACGCTTTTCCTCATGCTCAGTTTTCTATCACTCAGAGCCCAAATGCCACTGTGGGTAATTTTGTGCTTTTCCATTAAGCAACTGGGAGGGGGGGGGTAAATGCCATTAGGAAGGAATTGACCTCTTTCATCACAATTTGAGCCAATCTGAATATTTTTATTGTTCTGTCACCCAGTTTGGTATTAAACAAAGTGCAGGAGGAAAACAGTCTTGGCAAAAGTTTTAAGTTACTTTTTCTTAAATTTCACATAAAAGGCTTCTGCAAGTATATCAGGGGGCAGATTTCATCAGTTTGGAAAATACTGTTTGCCACGAGTAGCTGCAAGATTTAGAAATCAAAGCTATGAAAATTTAGGAACAAACCCAAACACAGTCCCCCCATTAGCATGCAGATGCCCTGCAGGTCTTGTGTGGTATTTCTCAATTAGTCACTGGTGTCTCCCCGGGGAGGGGCAGGGGCATGTGGACTCTTCCATCTGGAGATGCAGTGTGTGGTGGCAGGCTGTGCTGCTCCACGCCTCCTCTCACATTCCACTCACCCAGCACACACCCTCAACAATTTTCTTTTAAAGCAGCAGAGCCCTGCTGAGAAATCTGCCTCGGTACACTGCAGTGCAAGAGCTGTTTTCATCAACTATGTAATCCTTAACTCAAAGAAATGTACCTTTGACAGTTCATCTTACTCCTTTTACTCAAAAAATGACATCTTAGACAAAACTAGCTTGAGGGGGATGCTGCGCCCTGACAAAATTTAACCGGGATAGCCAGAGGTTGATTTTGGCTGGCTGGCTGCTATGTGACTGCATTGTAACAGCAAGCCTCTCTAAATATAAATGTAGTATTTTAAGTTGTTTTCATTATAACTATAATAAGGCTTCAAGGAAAGAGAGACAAGAGTAGTTAACAGAACTGCAGGAAGAAGAAAAAGGTTATAAAAGTAGCCTTATGTAAGTCTTCAGTTTCACCTGGCCAGCAGGTAGAACTGACGACATCACTCAGGTTTTGCTTCAGCAGACAAGCATGAAGAAGCAGAAGTAGGAAGGAAATTAAATATGATTATGTAAATTCATTGATCATTATAGTTATTGCAACTCTCATGTTTTTCCCCTTATTAGAAATAACTGCACAAGTCTACTAGTGACTGCCTTCAGGCGAGCAGTGTTTTATTCCAGCTAAGTGAATGCTGACAAATCAGAACAGTAACATCACAGAGCAACGCCAAACTTACGAGCTTTTTATATAATAGTTCTACTCATATACAAGCCACTTTACGTGAAGAAATAACTAAGCTTTGATCCTTCAACATTTTCCCTCCCTTGAGAGTCTAGAGAGAGTTTGCTGAGACAGACTGTCCAACTGCCAACTTACACAATCCCTTCAGAAAAGCAGACTAATGCATGCACAAGAGGAATCACAGATTTCAGCTGAGCTACATCTGCTTAGAAGAAGGAAAAAACTACAGTTCTACAGCACAGGATCGTAGTCTTCCATGTGATCTTCCAGATGAAGCTGATTCTTCTCTGCTCTGCCTTCAGGAGTACATGGTCAGCTGCAGCCAGTCTTCAATGGTCATTTTGATCTGTCCATCTCCGCTTCGGTCCAGGGACTTGAAGGTGCGGAACATGCTGTCGAGTCGTACCAAGCAGCTAATGAAGTTGTTGAAGTCCATGCTGCCGTCCTCGTGGGCGTACCTGCGCACGATCACCTGGCAGAGCTGCTGGTTCAGGTGGAACCCTGCAGCCTTCAAGGCACTCGGCAGCTGCTCTCTCCCAACGCTGCCCGACCGATCGGTATCGTGCTGCTTGTACACACATTGCCATTTCTTGATGTTGTTCCACAGGTACTTAAACTCTTCAAAGCCCAGTTTGCCATTCGTATCACTGTCCATGACGGCTACCATGCTACGGCACGTGTCTAAGCTGAAGCCATCTGTCTTCAAGTCTTGATGCCTGGAAACCACTTTGTTCAAGATGTCTCTTAGCTCTGTGGCATTCACCTCCATATCGTCTCCAGCCAGCTGGGCAAAAAGGCGACGGAACTGTCTGATCTCCTCACTCTCATAAGCTTCCACATTGGTGAAATGATTGTGAGGAGGTGGAGGTGGCTCCGGATTATACTGAGCTGCTGCTTCACTGATAAGATTGACAAGACCTCCAACAAGTCCTCCAAGATTCCCTCCATGTCCGCCTCCGCTTAGGAGACCTCCAAGACCGCGTGCAAGGCTCCCTCCACGACCACTGCCACTTGCTCCACTCAGCAAAGCTTTAGCGAGGAACATGGTGGAGGCTTTTTGAAGGGAGCTGCTCAGAGATCCAGTGCTTCTGTCACCCTGGGAAGCCTCACCGCCTCTGAGCTGGGCGTGGGCAAAACACAGCTTATCTGCCTGCTTAGACTTCACCCTGTCTGAGCATGTCTCCAGCTGCCCCAGTTCTCTCACACCTCAGCAGTTTCTGTCAATGGTTGATATGCCTCTTCTTTCTTTCTTTCCTTCTTTCTTCTCTGCACATTTAGCTTTATGTGACTTGAGGAATCTTTTTTAGAAAAAAAAGTAACGAGGCTGAAAGCCACAGAGCAGAAATCTCAAAATATGTGTGCTCATAACTGAAGCAATCTGAAAAGAATCCTGACATATTGGTGTGACTGTTCCTCAGCTAAGCTCATCTCTAAATCTGAATGCAGTGAAAGCTTACTACAGTCTTGTAAGTTCTTGCAATCTTTTCTGCCTGCAACTTTTTAGTGAATTGAGCATTACACTGCTAATTCTAGTCATTGATGCTGTTGTGCCAGATAGGGAAAATGAAAGGAATCTTGACTGCCCTTAATTATTTTGGTTGCCACATCATTTCTATTTCTATATTTCTGTTGTACATGCTGTGCTTCAGGACTCGGAACATCATTTCTATTTCTATATTTCTGTTGTATTTCTGTTCTATATTTCTGTTCCTACATGTTCGTAGGAGCCAGCGATCCAAGGTGGGGAGGGAAGAATGAAGAAAGCATGAGTATCTAGCTCTGCTAGAGCTTCAGAGCATTCAGTGATTAAGGAAATGTTTAACTCCTCTAGTTTAAAGCCTGTAAAACCCTTTTGTCTGGAAAAATCCTGGAACGTTTTTAATCAGCATACACAATGCAATGACTTCCCAAGGACAGATGTACTCCTAAAGCTGACTTGATCAGGAAGAGTGATGCTGAGTGGGGACAGCCCCTCAGACAAGAAACAAACTCCCGTTGATAAGCATTTCCAGTCCAACAGGCTGCTGGCAGGTCAGCACATATTGGATGACTGGAAATAAGGTGATTCTATGCTACGCTCTAGTCACTTCTGGTACAGTCAGAGGGGTGCATACACAAAGCAATTTTTCTCATCTTCAGGGAGAAGCAGAGAATGGGAGAGAATCCCCACTGACTATGGAGGGAAGCCTAATGATCAGAGTCTCCATAAGCTCAAAATCTGGGGTGGGCAGAAGGAAATACTCAGCCATCTTCAGCATGAAGGTTATCATCTGACGTGGTGCAGCAACTTGGTCCAAGAGATGGCTGTCAACTCACACGCAACAAACTGACCAGCCTTTTTCCATTGAAACTTAAGAAGGAAACTGTAAGAGTCACCTGTCTTGCCTACAGGAATTGCTAACCAGGAAGCATTTGCTAAGCTGGAAATAATGAATTAAATATCCTTTTGGGATGTGATTTTTTACCAAAACATTGTCAACAAGTTAGTTAACCAACTACTCACCCTGTCAAAGAGTAGAAACAGCTCTTTGAGGACATCTGAAATAGGCAGCTTCAAGTACTCTGCAAACTCCTCGATTCCAATTCTCCCCCCTTTGGACGCACTGGCAATAGCAGCAAAGGTATCCAACTGCTCTCTGACATGATTCCATTTTAGGCTATGCAAACATGAGGGAGAGGAGATATTTCTATACAGCAGATCTTGGACAGATGGAATTTCAGTTGGAGTTATTAGTGTTCAAAGACGAAAAATAGCCAAAGAGAGCGTGTGTGCACAGCATTAGAAATGCTGTACTTCCAACTAGATATTTTACATGAAATCAGCAATTAAGGACATCTCCCCCCCAGCTATTAATATTAAAAGCAGGCAGTTCTATGCTGGGTATATCAGACTTCCTTAGAGTAACTTCCCAAACCTAGAATCATCAGTCCTGTTACCAGGCTAGTCTAGCAGAGAGCTGTTCATCACCATAAATTCCTATCATGTCCTAGGGTGAATATTTCCCTGCCAGAAGGGAACAGATCTCAGCTCTGTTAGCTAACACTCTACCCAAACACTACTGCTGCTACAGCCTGAGAAGCATCTGCTCTCTGCAGAAATACACCACTGCACCTCCCTAACAATAATTAGGGCTGCCATGTAACTATTGAAGGTTGTTCCAGACAGTTCTACAAATGGATATATAGCAAATACATAACATGGGCAAGATTTACTGAGTGCATACTTCAGATTTGACCACACCCATGTCAGGTCATTTGATGGAGTTACTGCAGGATTAAGTGGTTTTGTCCTCAAATTCCACTGTACCCAGACAGGAAAGGTCAACAGCACTAGGGGGAACATGGCTGCACAGTACAGCTAAGGACAAACACTGACCCACTGCCTGAAATCTCAGGCTGGAAAGATGATTTTTAACTTCCTACCATACACTACCTGTGCATCTGAACAAACACAATTTAAACTGGGCACCGAGATTAGGTCGGACTAGATGACCTTTGGAGGTCCCTTCCAGCCTGGGCAATTCTATGATTACTATCAAGTGCCTGAAACAGGTATTTACTCTATCTTACTCACCTTTTGGTGAGATAAATCCATAGAAGATTAGAAAAATGCATTTTTCCTCTTGTAAAACTGCCCACAAAAATTACTTGGGATTAGTTCTTACTAGGAATTTCCTCACCTCTGATGTCCATATAGTTTATGTATGTAAGTTGTACACATAAATACACTATATTACATATGGCCAAGTCAGTTGTCAGGTAATTTATCCTTTTGTAGATGGCCATCAACACCTGCAGCACCGCTGTAATTGTGTTATCGACAGCTAAATTCCCCTTACTTGAGTTTCTTGCTAATTTTGGTGAACTCCACCAGCCCAGCTTCCATGGGTAAAGTCAGCTGTCCAGCTGAAATCATCAGTCTGCAATCTTCAAAAGTGTGATCAGTGACTGGCACATTCAAAGCACTGAAACAAAATTAAGCAAAAAGAAAAATCAACTTCTTATATTAAAATGACTTTTAGTTGACTGTTTCCCTTCTCTGTCAGTTTGGCTTTGACGCTAACATACAGAACAAATGGTAATTCATTCTTGCACTGCTGCAAGGTAGGATAAAGCAATACATATGATTTTGTGTAACTGTGAAACCATACTGTGAAACTACATTATGGCAGCATCATGATATTTTAAGATTTACAGTCCTGTAAATGCTGCCCAGTAACCTTGGAGAACAAACCACCCATTTCTTCTTGCCAAGCAAATACGGGAGTAATTTATTCCAGCTTTCCATGAATTGAACATACTGTGTTCCAACGTAAGACAACCTTCTTTATGCTCCATGTAAAAACCATCAGAGTGTTTTAGTACAGGAATTTGACACCTCCTAGTGAAAATCTAGAGCAATTCCTATATATAGTACCTGGGACTTGACTAAATTGTACTTTATGGCTAGGACATATATGGAATTGTTGGATATAAACCACAAGTTCTCAAAGATTTTCTTCATTCCTGTTTACGTACATTGCCATGGTTTGCCGGACTCTGTTGGCAAAAAGTATGGGATCATTCTTTTCTTCTTCAGTAGGAACATGAACAGGCAGAAACTGAAAGAGATGAGTTATCCAATCAATTCAACAGTCACCGCTTTGTTAGTAACGTGGACAATTTCTGGTTATTGTTTGGAATGGGGGAAAAACAGAAGACAAAAACTCAGCCATGCAATGAAGGAACCGGCCACTAGAGGTCTCAACCGCCTTAGAAACCACTCGGCTCTTCTGCCCTGGCCACACCAGTAAGATTTAGTCCAAACCTGGCTCTTCAAGATTGGTAGGAGCTGCTTTAATAAGAAAAATCAACCCCTCAAGGAAGGGAAGTATAATAAATGCATAATTAGTTAGAAAATTAAATGCTACATTGGTAAGAATGTGAGTCTGAAATAGTGTACACTCCTTTTCAAAGATGTTTTATAAGTGATGTTATATACTGGAATAGTGTATAAACAGTTTATAATGTTTTAAAATACACACCGCAGTTCCACCCCATACCTGTTAATTGTATCTGTCAGCGTGTGACTGATAAGTTTCCTGTAAGTTTTTCCTCCCTGATAAAAATGTTAAGGAATCTTAGTTCTGAATTGCAAGTAAAGCACTCATTGGATACAAATACTGTAAAATTTTGAAACTCCAAGCAGAGAGTAAAAAAAAAACCCCAAAACCAACCTCCTCTCTTCCAACACCCCAGATATCTAAATGGCAACATGTTTGCTGTTGAGGATTAATTCCATATCAATATGTAAGAAGGTGAAGTAGCATTACACTAGACATACGCTATAGATGAATTATCATCTAACATGGCATGAATAGTCATCTGTTTCTCTGCAAAGCAGGGTGTGTGGAGGAGTGTTCTGTTGTTTGCACTTCACCCCGCAGCGCTCACTTGCAGCTCTGTTTGCCAGGCCTTTTCTCATGGTTATCATTTACCTCTGTTCTGCTACTCCCCACCCTGCAATCTTGCCCTTAAATCCTACAATACAGCAATTCTAGAATAAGTGTAAGGTGTTTCTCATGGTTCACTGGAAGACACAGTTGCTAATTACGTGTCAATATGTTTCTTCAGTTATATTGCTGTTGCTGGTGATGCACTAATACAGTGGCAACTGTCCCATTAAAAATGCAGTTCATCCTGAACAGCCCTTTTATGTTCGTTTTTAAAGAATGCTGCCTCTTTATGATTAAAACCAGTTAAGTTTATGGGATTGGTTATCTGTCAAAGAGCCGTAACAATTTTCTGTTTATAGCTAAAAGTTTTCTCCCCAGTAAGGAGAGCAGGGAGGGGCCCAGCTGTTCATAGGAAGGTTTGAGATTTCATTCCTTCTATAAGCAGCTGCCAGCTCTGTTCAAGTCTGACATATGTCCCTGCTTATTACAACTCCCTTTTAGAAGTCACATAACTCTTAAGTGGAGGAAGCACAGGCAGACTGTACAGAGAACTGTGTCATCACTGGGGAAGATGAAGTCATAACTCTGAGTTTATCTACACAAACATGGGTTGTGGTCTTGAAAGCAGTCATTGCACCATTTGAGGCTGAGGTCTCGCTCAGACAGCAACCTAAATTTCTGGTAGGTTAAACACCACCTCTGTCCCCTTCAAAAAAACCCACCCACAATTATTCACAGAACCAGTTTGCCAGAACCCACAGCTGGGGATGAAGAGGCTTCTTGGCCTCCTGTGGTGGCACACATGATGTCAAGCACACCCAGGTGCTTATCTGGTGATGACCAGCAAGTACACCTTCCCTGGCAAATTGCAGCCCTGGAAGAAAAATTCTTCACAGCTCTTTCAGTAGCAAAAATACTTCTGTGATCTGCTTTTGACCTTTCTTACAGAATCTGCCAAACGCTGTATCTTTTCCAGCCCTAAAACTCACTGCCAGGGTCACTGTTAAATCCTCCATATCCACAGTTTGTTAGAATATGCCCACAGGAGCAGGTCCCCCTTCGTGCACAGCAGCTGGAGGCAGTGCAAGGCTGGCAGGAGAGGAGAGGCCACCAGCTCACAGCACGGGACAGCAGCAG